AAATTACTGAGTGATCCTCAAAAAAAAAAAAAAAAAAAAAAAAAAAGGAGGGCTGGAAATCATGAACTATTTGAGGCTTGCTATCAATGGATATTTAAAGTGGCCAGATTTCTAGATATTCATTCCCGAAACACTCCTCCCAAATTTCAAGCATTGTACACTATTTAACACTGGAGTTTTTAACTTTTTAAACAAAAACCTTAAATTAGTTATTCTGTAAGCACTGTTCTGTCTGTGGATTTACAGAAGCCTTCTGGAAGACAAAGGTCACTATGCCCATTCTTATGAGCTGGAAAAGCACAACAGGAGTGGGAGTAATGATTTGCTCAAAGCCAGATGCAGGTTTCTGTTGAAGCTAGAAAAAGAATCTCAGTTTCCATGTTTTCAGGTCACTCTTTTATTCTCTGGGTCCCCCTGCCTTACCCTTATCAAGCACGTCTTGTTTATAGTAATGAAATTAAACTCAAAGAGTAAAACAATCAGTATTAAATAATTAACATCCCTCTTTTTCAATACTGTGCTTTGTAGATGAGGACAGGGAGACAGATGTGTTTATAATGTTCAATCTGTTGAACCTGAAAATAACACGTATACTTCTTAACCTAAATATAGTCATCAACTCATGGAGTTGCCACCATATGCAGAGTACCTGCCATGCAGCACTCGAAAAGATTTTGTAAAGCAAAATTCTGCTGAATGTGCTCATAAATATTAGAGTATTCTTGACATGCTATGCTGAAAACATTCAATCTGAGCTGCAAGCGACCAGCATTGCATATCAATTTTTGGAAAATGCCAGTATTTGTATCCAGAGATACGACCAGCCATACAAAGTGGCAAGATACTGAAACCGGCATTACAATGCCTCACACAATTATTTTGGGTCAGAGTATCCCATTGTACACAAATTCACATAATGAAGTTCAGTACAAAGCAAACTAACAATGGACTTGGCACAGAGAAACAGAGCAGCAGCTGCATTCGAAATTCAATGGAGAAAACTATTTTAATGCTCAATGTGTACATAAAATTGTCTTTGAAACTTGCTGAAAAATGCAAATAATACACATTAAAATTAAAATTTCTTAAAAGAAAATTCAAGCTTGCTTAAAATGTAAACTGATTCTAGAATCAAGGGTTTTTAAGAGCTGTGATTAGCTGATGAGAGGTGTTTTTAGACAGATGATATAGTAGCTATGATGACACTATATCATTATTGCCTTGCTTTCTTTTTTTTTCTGCACTAGTAGTTATAGTTCATACACATGACTCCAAACATACTTTCTATAAAATCTTTTGGAAATATATTAAGAAGTCAGCAAGTGACAGAAAACTCATCTTGCTCTGTGGCAGGAGGAAAAACAGAGCATATTAAGATAATGGAGAGCAATGCAGGCATTATACAATACAAACAATGCTAAACAGCATCATTTAAAGAAAACACAAAGCAGCCATTGATTTTTAATATCTGCATTAAAGGTCCCCCCCCGTTTTGCAGGAAATATCTTTAGATGATGTCGTGCTTATTTACGAGGAATTAGGAGAATATTACACAAACAAGTGCAGGAAGAAACATTTTGCTGTGACCATTTTTTCAAATACAGTTCCTCCTCCAATATTTAAACCAGACATTAGTACAATGGCTACAAAGAATACTGATTAAAAGAGGGAGGTTGTTTGTTTGTATGTTAAAGACAAGTCTTTAGAGATTTTCTTCCCTTCCCTTTAGGGTGAATAATTGGCTAAACTCATCTTTTTAGCATTTCAAAAGCCTGCTTGCATGCACCTGATTGCTGGCTCTGGAGACCAGGTGAGACAGGCAGAGGGTTTTCAGAAGAGGGGAATCAGCACATATGCCACACAATGTCCACATGCTAAAGGAAAAGACTAGTCTGGGACCTGGGGAAACCAGCAGCAAGGTCTACCTATGGCTGGAAACTTCATTTGTGGATCAAGCACTTGTCAGGTGAGATGAAGCTGATGACAATGTTCTCTAACCAGCCTTCATCTCTAGGGTGATGCGTGCCTTACCATCTGGGCCATTGCAAAGCCTTCCATAGGGTGTCTTGCTTTCTCATCAAAATTACCATCCTGTCCCATAGAAAAGCTCCTTTTTAACTGCACCAGCAGCCTATCAGGTCATGTGGGTATTTCAGCAGTTTCCAGGTATTGCTGAAGATGGCAAGGCTTGTGGTTTTATAGGGCAAAATCTGACTTGCTCAAGAGAACATCGGAGGCAGGGCAAGAGAGGAGGGGGAAGCCCCTCACAAAATGGGAGCTAGATGGTTGGAAGGGAAAACCTTCTTGCAAGATCAAACGTACAACCCCACAAGTTTCATAACAGTCTATTTTGAACCCTGCTTGCTCTGCCTCAGCATTTGAATGAGGCTGAAAGCGTGGACCAAGATCCATCACTGGCTTGGAACAGGAAGAAGTTGAGGAGCCTCCTTCGCAGCAGGTGTTCAGTGATGCCTGCAAAGTAGCTCTGGGATATAAAGCATTACATGGACCTCTACTACTACAAAAAAAACCCAAACCCAAACAAACAAACAAACCAACCCCAAACAAACAAGCCAAAAAACCAACCAACCAAACAAACAAAAAACCCAAACCCAATTATGGCTGCTTTTGTTTTGCATATCTTCTAGCTCTACAAAAACACACAGAGGATTACTACTGTCCACTGTCAACACTGATCCACTGAGTACACAGGGTGACTTCCACCTTAAGCAGCGACCTCAAATCGCTTCCTAAAGCTCCCAGCCAACGGCCTACATTTGAACTTCTACATTTACACTCTGATACACTCTACATCTCAAACTTTTAATTAAAAGAAGAAAAAAAGTTCATCCAAATCAATTCAAATGTACCGTTTCTCCCAATTACTGTGGAATGGAGAGGTCATCATCATATTGCATCATTACATTGAGAAATAATCTAGCATGAAGTCCTATAAATTAACTTAAATAGCTTGTGCGTTTTCATCCATAACAGCATATTTCATAAAGATATACCACTGCTTTTCTGTGTACAAGGATCTAAATTGAACAGGCGCATTACATCTATTTTATGTGAACTTTAATGAGAAAAGGCTGATACGAACCCCCCTCTGCCCATGAAGCTTAAACATTATGCCACAGAAGAAAAAAAGAGATCATCTCTGGTGGCTGCACATTAAGCCCTGATGCTTTAGATTGCCTTTTTTGAGGAATGCACCATATTGCTGGCATTTCTATTCAAAACAAGCTTGTGTTTTACAGAAAAGGGTACAACATTTACAGTGACATATATAAGAACAGCACAGACAGAAAGCTCTAAAATATAATTTACAACTCAATCTATGGAATCATGCACTTTAAAAGAAACAATAACTGCATGAAAAGAACAACCCAGTCCTAGATTTTTATCACAGGATATTAGTTTTGGATACTTCATATCAAACCCCAAATACCTTAGGTACTTCTCTATCTTGACAGTGGATCACCTTTCCAAAAAAATAACCATAATGCACTCACATGCTATAAACAAGTAAAAATTCTTCCAGAACCTACACTGCATGCTGAGTTCTTTACAAAAAATAAAATAAAACTGGAGACAGAGCTCCATCAGTTTTGTTTTGGACCATTGGTGATTGCATACAGAACGACTTTCACCTCCTGAAATGTCTCCGCTTCATTCTTATGCATAGACTTGAAGGGACATTTATGTGTTTGGCTTGTTGCATCAATTCAGAAGATAGAGTTACTGTAAAAATTTACATTACTGCAGGCTTGTAGTGATGAAGCAGGCAAGAACAAGAAATAAGCTTTTATTGCATTTATTTTAGATTTGATGGAAAAGTGTAGTCATTTGGTACGACAATAGCCACCATGAAATTTTATTTGTTTATTGGTTTAAATACATTCTATTTAAGCATTTTTTTAAGTTGAAATTTCAAGATAAATCACAAATTTGACCTATCCGTCCAGATGGTGTTTCTCCTGAATTGATCATGTATTTCAATTTGCTGTACCCACTTTAGTTTATAGTTGTGATACACGCAATGCACCAAGGACACTTACTGAAACTCAAAGTTAATTTGAGTAAAACAGTGTTTTATATACTGCTCTCCACACCAAGCTCTTTATTAAAAATGGGAAAAAAACCAACCTTCACTTCCCCTATAATGTGTAAACTTGCCTGTAACAAAGATGGTATTTTATTTTAAATGGATTTACAGAATTCTTTAATAAATAATTTTTAAAATCTCAATGGCTTAGTTTTACTGCAACTCATTACTCTGTTGAAGGTCTTGGAATCATGGGTGGATCAATCCTTTGGTGCAGACAGTAAGGTGAAGGACAGATATTTAAGAACTAAACAGTGTTAATTTTTAACCAAGGGTACAGCTCGCTGGCAGCTTGAGTAGACCTAAGAGCTTTTCCCCCACTCCTGCCAACAGCTTTTTTCTTGACTTTTTGAGGTGCAGGCTGAGTTAATTTTGGGCTAGAATTGTTCCCTGAACCCATATGCAGGTACAAAATAGAGGACAGCACAGTGCAGGGACAGATTTAGATGGCTGACAATACTATGCGTCACTTCGGTTTGAACTGCACCATGTGTTTCCAATAATTTTCAAACCCCTACATTCCCAGACATGTCACTGTTTCTTATACACAACACTACTCCCATTCATCTGATTTTTCTTGGTTTACTTCTCACTTCTGTTATTCCAAAACACTCAAAACAGAAAAATACTTAGTCCCAAAATCAATTTGAAATGTATGCTCTGGGTTCTTATTACTGGGTTTTCTTAGTTTTCAATCTTTTTATAAAGTTATTCAAAGCTGGTAAAGATATTTCAGATTGAATAGGTTTTCTAAACCTTTTATTTTTGTCTTGGTAAATCTATTGTATTACTAAAGATAACAAACCAGGTTATAATAGAGCTGATTTAAGACTGGAAATATTTGCCTGAAATACAAATTATAAATAATAGGAATTAAAATCATTGTTGATACCTGTGGTTAAAGGCAGATGAGTGACACTAGTTAGACAGGTGAGAGTGAACCAGGTTGATGCTAACGTTGCTCCAGATAAAAGCAGCAGCAGTATAAACTTCAGCATGCCCCTGATAAAATCTGCAAATCTAAAATAAAAGCACAGATCAGAGCAGCAGAAATGCTGATTTTCACATTATTTAAATGTGATGCTTGACAATTAATTCCGTATATTCTCATTAAACATTTGGAGACTATAAAAACAATTTAAAAATCGTTTCTCATTTCCAGAAATGGAAAAAAGGCATTTTTATAGAATAGTGGTATTTCTAGCTGTCAAGCTGAAGAGACATGGATTTTTTAGCTGTCACAAAATAACAACCAAGCCAGAACAATTCTCAAGGTTTCAATTGAAAACACTTGGTATACAGGAAGAGGGTTTTTTTCCTTCTGCATTTGTTGGACACAACATCACACCACTACTTACATCATTTTTTTGCCAGTGTTTGCCAGTCTCCCTTGGCAGACACACTGTTCAATTAGCATATGAGGAGGCTGCTGCATTTCATTCAAGACATAGTTAAGTGTTAAGATTCATTCCAGTGGGAAATGATAAAACTCCAAATATCAGAACCCCTAGATCGAAGATGACAAGTAACAACTTCTGAACCCTTGGATGCATTGGTGATGAAGCTCTTGGTGGCTTAGACGGAGGAGGACTCCTTACAGAGGCGGTCACTGCCAGTGGCTGTTTTGGGTTGAAATGTTCCAGAAACCAAGAGCTTGGTGCTACTCCTCTCCTACACATGCTCCACTGACAGTCTGTGGGAGGACAGCCCCACAAGGCCTTGGGCAGTCTGGCTGTTATACAGGGGGAAATACGATCTTTATACCACCTGATGGTACAATTGCTTTTTTCATCCTTTCCTCTTTTTCTTTCAAGGAAACATAATACATTTGAGCAGTGCTCACATGGCATAATTACCAGTGCAACTGCTCTTTTCAAAAGGTATTTCAACACAGCTACTAAAAAGATGTATTAGAAAAGGCAATGTCATTTATCCACTAGTAATTTTCTATAATCTCCTGCTTAGATGTGATTTTGGGCTGCATGGATCAGGTGTGTATGTCTAAAGAATGTCTTCTGCCCTCACAGCCTCCTACCTTGATTAGGCTAACAGCAGGACAATCCACCTAGATTGGTCCATGATGAAATCCGTCCCATCTGTCAGCTAACTGCCTTCTCTCCCCTTACAAAGGTCACCGTACAGACAGATACCATATAGCTTCCTTGATAAAACAAGATAATGCTACCAACATTTTGAGAACTAGGAAGCCTAGCTCTACATACACCATAAGAGATGTAATAAAAAAAACCAAAACAAAGAACTTCTTTCCTCTTATTTTGATTCTCCCTGGACTTTAATTCCACATTGAATTTAGCAGTGAGTAATTCAATAAGCAGTAGAGGAAGATCAGTGCTGCATATAATCTTAAAAGTTTATGACTGCAGTGTTCAAGTGGCTTATGCATTAATCTCTTATAGTCAGAGGTTAGCTGCTGCTGTTGTTTTTTTTTTTTTCTGACAATCCAAATCCAGCAATCAGGATCACCTCTTCTCAGCGGTTTGCCAGTTTCTTTAATTAGTCTGTGGGATCACTGGGGTCAAAATCAGCAATTTTAGAAGCTTCTCAGAAGCATCTCAAAATGCAAACTTTTGGCTTCTTCCACAGAGAAGCAGCCTGCTGGCAAACATCACTATTCCTTTTCCTTACAGGCAAGAGCAGGTACATATATCCCATCTAAGAAAACTGTGTGAGAAATACCAGCCTTCAGGGAGGGACATTCACAGACAACAAGTCTGTAAGGGATCTCTAGGGGATCCTCCATCTCTACCCTACCACCAGGGGTATGTGGTGATGCGAGGATGATACGCAACTAAACCATTCAAGATAGTGAAGTGGAGCAAATAGCTACCCTTACTGAGCAGCTGCAGCTCTTTTTGACACAGAGATCCTGGTTTGGGTATCAGTGGTAGCAGCGTGCTCCAAGGAGCTCTCAGATACCACAGGACTCCAGAAGGGTCAAATACAAATTTAAAGGTTTATGCAGCTACTGAATTCAGCCAGCAACAGAAAAAAATGACATAGCAAACTAGTCTGAAGTTGGTAATCGAGGGACTTCTGCTTCTTGTCTGGTTACAGGAGAATAAAGAAGATTGTAAATCTAGTCAACTCTTCAGAATACTTGTTTCAGTCAAAAAATGAGATAAATTGTTTTATCCTCTGACCCCAATATCTGCTTTCAAAACCCTCTGTTCTGTTTAAATCCTTCATCATCTAGCATGTCAGGGGATGTCTGCAACTGCTAAAGAAGTAGGCACACCAGGAGAGGTGTACACTTTCCCAGACACAGACCTCTGAGCCTACTGCTAGTAACAGTCTCCTGAAACCCAGCAAATCCAGCCCGAGGCTGGATCCTACAGTTAAAATCACAAACCTGCATTGCTGACAACACTGTCTGTTGCTAAGGAAATTATCACCATGTCATGAAGTTTCAGCATTTTGACTACACTGCAGGTTAAAAGCGGGAAGAAAAATTGAGCTGTGGAGGACAAAACCTCAGAAGTATCTGTGATCATTAACAAATGTGGCAAAAAAACCACCCCCAAAACTTGAGAAAAGGGAATAGATTTATGCTTCCATGCAATGATATGAACGTTGCTCTTTGACACTTCTCTTCTTCAAACCAGTATCATTTCAAAGCTGCCAGCAAAGGGTACAGCACCTGCCAGCTGCCCAAAATAGCCCAGGCTTTTCAATTATAAAAATGCATCACACAAATTAGCTACACATATCTAAGTTCACGGCTATCGGGACAGCAGTGGGTGGAGAGCAGGACAATTTATGTAGTGCGCTGAGGAAAACTTGCACCATTTTGAAAATGAGCTAGGTAAACAAATTTCCAAACTGGGCATTATTTTAAATATAGATGATTTACCACCTACTGTGTGTGACATGCAGGACCAAATGCTCCAGGACAAGGCTCAGGCTGTTACAGTCCTAAATGGTAGAATCTGCATTAACAAAAATGGGAGGGGCAAATTCCTAAACTGCACCAACTGTGTTTTGATAAATTAGCACAAAAAAAAAAAAAAAAAATTAGGAAAAAACCCATCCAAAACCAACAGCTTCTTGAGAGGTGGTTAAGGGAGGGAGCTGCTCGCTTGGCAAATCACAGTTCTGACACTGAAATCCATCAACTTGTCAGCCTTGACAAGAATCATTACTTAATTTTCCTAATTACAACTTTCAGCAGATTACAGTCAGACTCATCATTGATTCAACCCTACACAGATAAATGCTGAATAGGCCTAGGAGGGAGAGTCATCCATCAGGAGTGACAAATCACCTCCTCCCTCCCTTTCTGTATGCAAACCCTCCCATTTGAACTATGTATCACCCAAGTTAGAAAGACATATTTGGAGACAGAATGTTGGTATTTTTTTTAATTTACTCAAAAGCAAAGCTCTGAATACTACAAAATACTGGTATTCAACAAGGTTTGAAATCAATTTTGAAGCAGTTAAAGAGGCTGTCAGCGTTTCCTGAAACTTAACCCAGGCAATATATTAAATAAATTAATCTACCATAAAAATTGAGATTTACATGTTGGCATTGAGTCAGCAGATTCTCTCCTAACAAAGTTAAGTGAGCTGCTAAGGGTGCCCCTCTACTATTGAAATGTTTCAAATATACCAGATATTAACTCATGATGGAAAAGATTAAACTGGCACGCTACCTGGTTCAGCATGTAACCTGCTACGGCATCTGTGTCATTTACAGCAGTTGGTTTTAAACACCTACTTCTCTTAAAGAAGACTTCACATCTCAGCTTAGCTAATCAACAGCAACTCTTTTTAGAGGACATCAAGGTCTGAACTTTGTTTCAATAGATTAAGTCCTTTGGCCTCGATCTGGAGCTGACGGGAGGGAAGCGCTTGCTTCTTTTCCCTAGGTCAGTTTTTTCCTGTCCCTCTGTTGCAGTTGCTAGGCAGCCTGCAAAATGTCAGGATGAGAAACCTCACATTTCTTTATGCATTGTGTACTCTGATGATGCACACCAAGTGAAAAAAGAGAGCTTCAATTTCTGTCCTAAAAGGTGCCTTTTTTCTGTCCTAAAAAGATGCCTCTGGGTCTGCAACCCCTCCATGACTGCAATGATGCCAGACCCGTGTGCTTGTGCTAAGCTCTTTGCAGAGCTGGAGTCTAAAGAGGAGATAGAGAGAAGCCAGGACAACGCTCAGATAACCCAGTGCAAGGGGAACACATGATTGGTTTTAAGCAGTTTTATAAACTCACTGCTCAAGTACCTCCTGAAAAACACTTTCTCCTTGCTCCTGCCCCTTTTTTTAAAGCGGATCTCAATGAAGAAAAAGCAGCAGCCTTTTGGAAGGGCAATCCACTTCTTGCTTTTCCAGTCCCCATGTCATCAGCATTCATGATAGCCAGAGAGAGCTGTGTTGGGATATATAAAAAGCCTAGGTACACCCACAGTATAGCCCATAGCACTACAGCAAAACACAGTTAGGCCATATAGGAATCCAGCAACCTGTCCAAAATGGTCCCAGGCCAATTTGTCTGCGGAGGAGTGTAGTGTTATCGCGGGTAGGCTGCCTGAGCTACACTCCCAATATCCCTTCGGGAATCAATATGCCCAAAAAGCGTTGATGGAAGGAGACAGACACTAGTTTCTACAATGCTTTCCAAATGTGCTACGATGGGCACTCCCTCATACCAAGCAGCTGAATTCACAAGAACTGGGTTTAAAAGGAACATACAGGAAGCACTTGTCAGGAGTAACAGAATGACTTGCCAAACCGAGGTATACGCATGTGGAGGTCTTGACCCCCAGCAACCACTAAGACGGAATATATAAATTATTGCTCTACAAGAAATATATCATAACCCCAGAATGCATTTTCCACTTCAAGTTTCTAAAAGATGAGAGAAACTAAGTTATATAATTATGAGGATAAGCTAAATAACAATCACAGTTGAAGATACAGAGAAGGACATGTAATTATTCCTACCTTGCCATTGCTATGCCAACAACACAACCTCCAACTATAGACCAAAATCCAATCCAGCCTGCATCTACCTGAGAGGAAAAAAAAAACAAGAACAAAACATAGAGAAATGTGTTAAAGCTAGGAAAATAAAATGATGTTATATCCAAAACAAACGGTGTGCAGGAGCTGCAAACTGCTAGCAACAGCCCCCGACAACAATCTGAAGTGCAATAAATTTTCTAGGATATTCAAAAAGGAAATAAATTCACTAAAAGAAAGTATGACAAAGTAGCCTATGCCCTAAATGTGAACTGTCTTTATAGAATATGAGAAATGTCCTCTGGATTTTTATAATACTCTGTCAAAAGCTTAGAAATCCTCTTGTCCCCACTCTATCTTTTCCACCTCATAAACATCATTTTCTTTAACTAAAGGTGCAGCAGCTACCAATACTCCTGTTTGTTTACCTGTCTCTTCCTTCTTGTCAAAAGGTGGGTACAGTTCTGAAAATCCCCATCACTGGTGGACAGTCAGCAGGGAGAATTGTGACAGTTTGGGATGCCAAAGCTACAGTTTATTTTGTTTAAAATTTCAGGAGAAAAGTGGTCCATATTAATAGCAGCTTAAACATAAAAACCTGATAAAATTGTATGCTAGTGCAAAATAAAAACATGCAACTTTCAAAATAGTTGTTATCAGTCAGGAGATACTTACTTGGCTTACGTGAACTGGCGTTAATATCAAATCCAGAACACCAGACCAGCCAGAGAAAACACCCAGTGGTATAGCATAGGCTAAAGCAATCATCAAGAATCGGAAATTGCTGTGAAGACAAAACATATGCAATTAGCTGCAGCTTATATTAGAAATTGCACCAAGATTAGCTGCTAGAGTAAATGACACCCTAGCATCTATATTCTGCCCATCAAGAAAAATAGCAGAGGTCTGAAGGAGTGAGCCAAGAAAAACGAGAAAGGTATCTGGCCATGTCACTGAAATTCCAGTGGTTGAGATGTTACTGCCTTAGCACTGTGATAACAAAAAAAGCAAGCCTCTCCACGCAGTTCAAAGATTTTTGTAACATGCTGGGCTCATGTGTTTCTCATTTCCACAAGCAATTCTTCCACATATTTGCATGGGCAACCTAATTACACTAAGTGTAGGTGAGGAACAATAAGCACTAATTTAAATGACAAACAGCATATTTTAAGAATAAAATCAGAGATTCATACTTTTTGAACTCTACTTTTTTTTTAAAAAAACTGTTTTACTTGTCTTTATTTTGGTGAAACACAGGAGAGCTCTAGGAATGAGACGGGTACAGTTGCAAGAGTTGAAAATTTTGACAGTTTGAACTGTCAAAAAACAGAGAGAAGCATAATATTCTACTCTAAACAGTCAACGTGTTCACTTTTTCCTCCCAATTAAAATTATTCAACCTTTAGTATTCAGTGAAGATGAAGCAGTCAAAGCTGTGTCATCGTCGTCATCGTACACAGCTAAACAGGAGTTGGCAGACAAATACCACCACCAATTTCCCCCACCCACCCACTGTAACCGAAAGCAAATGCGAAATCTTTGCTAAGAGACATCCAACTTTTCCTCAAAAATGTTTCAATTTGGGAATAAAACCAGAAAATACACTTTGGACTTGGCAACAGTGATATTTTAAAGTGAAGAGATTTGACAGTGATGCCAAGGTTATCCCATGGGATATCTGTGTAACCACAAAACGTGGCTCACCCCATTCCCAAACAATTTACATAAAACTGATCCTGGTCAGTACCAGTTCATTGGCGTGCAGCAGCAATTTGGTAGCATGCAGTTATGAAAGCCAAAAGGGAGAGAAAGAGCTCCAAAAACTCTCCAAAGCATTCAGAGGTTTGCAGCTTATGCTGTTTTACTTCCCTAGAAGATCCACGCGCAGCACACCAGCCAGCGTTTTTTTGCACTGTTCTTTTTCACACATCCTCTTCTTGAATAACACATTTCTATCACATGAACATATCCTCCTCTTTCAGTACCATTCATGTCAGATTTATTTTTTAATGCAAAGAAAAACAACTCCCAAACTTTCACCTCTTCCACACGCTGGTTAGATTTCTCTGAATGCTAAAGTGCTTGCTGTCTACCTGACACCTTTTTTTATCTCTTAAGATTGCCATACTCTTATCCTAGTTTATCTTGTATCATCTCAGCATCTCATAAGGCAGGTTTTCTGACACTATTTAATACTATCCATGTAAAAGCTAATTCAACATCTGTAGAAAAAATTAAAAGGGAAGTGTCAATTTTGCATGGACGTTATATAGCCATGGCGTAGATTGCAATGACAGAACAAGTCTGAATGCAGTCTTCCAAAATAACACTTGCTCAATATTCAAAATCTTTGGCTGTCTGTACCTCATCTTTATCAAAGATCTACTTTTGAGGGGCTGAGTACTTTGTAACTTATTTGACAGAGTTTTCCTGTGGTGTATTTGTCTTCTGTAACCCAAGCACTGAGATAGACTGGCACATGGGATAGCTTCTCCGTGCCACATCCAACTCCTAGTACCAATACCACAGCACCAGCTCTGAATCACGACATCCTCCAGGGACAGAGGCTGTCACCCTGCCTAGTCTCCAGGATAACAGAGGTGACCAGGAGAAAGGGTGCATGGCAGTGACAAAGGGGCACCGATCACCAGATATCATTCTGTCCCCTTGTCCAGCAATACCTAGCATTGGCTACATTAAGTGCTAAAACTATTTGAAACATACATCTTAAGCAGCAGCTCCACTTTTCACAGCTCCAGTCACTTGTATTTGTTTTTGCAGTTTTGCAATTGCTCCACTGAAAATAGAACAATGTGCTGTCTGTCACACCATCAGCTGGTAAACCCACACTGTTTTCCATCGTATCAGCCCTTATGACAGGATATCAGCATTAGCCTCTCTGTTAAACCAGTCTGCTGGAATACAAATTGGCCTTTTCTTCTGTTTTTTTCAGAAACTTACTTAACACCTCTAGAATCTGTAAGACAGGCTGGTTCAGAGGGGAGCCCCATCAAAGTCGGTCACCATTTTAAGAACGACTTTGACAGTGCCTATTAACATCAGGCACACTCTGAGCAGCTTCCATCACCGGATGGTGATGTCATATGAAAGTTTCATTTTTCATTAAAGAAATACTGATGCACAAAAACCCTGTTATGAAATTTCAAAATTGCTTACATAGTTCCTTGAAAATATCAAAGGTATGTAATGGGCTAAAAGCATCTAATTACCTCAAAGCAAAAATCACATGTTTTCTTAATGCAGATTTTAAGACTTATCAACTATTTACTGTATTTTTTCCACTGAAATTTGTGGCATGTTCTGAAATAGGAGACAAAAAAAGGCCATGTCTGCTTCACCCAAGAAACTGAGAAAGGGCACCACACTTTTTCTAATGGAAATTCAGACTACACTTGTCACAGTGTGTGATAGACTGTTAAAAGATTTGGGCTTAGCTCCCAAACCATGACTAATCCATCGTCTCCCACTGCAGGCTGAGAGTGTTGGTACCAGCAGATAGCCAGAGATCGGCTAATTGTTATAATCTGTCAGAAGCAGGAATCCTGCAAATCAGGAGGAAGAAACAAGTTCTTAAGCAAGTCCCCAAAAAATGGCCTACAGGGGATGGTAGACCCTAAGAAGATATGTACAATACAGCCCTGCAAGAAGCAGTTCATTAAGACGACTGCTCAAGGACCTGAAGGCATGAAGGAGTGCTGAGTTGCAAGGATGTGCTAGATCCCTTTGGTGTCCACGGAAAAAGGTCAATGACTTCAATGGAAAAGTTATGCTACGCAGCTTTATTCTGAAGTAATAAAACTGCATCCTGGGGGAGAGAAGAAGGAAATGATGAACACCTCAATTCTCATGAGTGTTTTTTTGGTGCATAGCTAGGTTAGCCCCACACATCCTAAATGCCTTACACACACTTCTTACACCAGAGGGTAAGGCATGGGGAAATCATGATTTCCTGGTACTCATCAGCTGATTATCTTCAGTATACACCATTAAATCAAAAGACAGGCTCTCTGTGCCAAGAATTAAGAAGCCTACATTAGGCAGGCAACAGAGCTTAGAAGCCTAACGAACCAGATGATGGATTTCTCTTGAAGCACAGCAGACACCATTTTATTTTATAAAACCCCCTTGCTTGATGGATTGTTGCTGAAAGGCTCCCCAAGATAAGGTGGTTTAATGATGAACTGTTGATTGTTTCAGGTACAGAGGAATGAAGAACCGCCTTTGATAAGGGGTAGCCTGGAAGAATGCATAAAGACCAGAGAGAAGGGAGATAGAATGATCTACCCGACTGCATTTTAAAAGACCTCTTGCTTCTTGGAGACACTACAAACTATGCTCATTATTTAAGTGTCCAGTTTGTTTTCTTAAGCTTCATTGATTGTGAATAGTAAGCCAGCTTTGCTGTTTACCTCCTGACCTTACCAGTATCTTAGGTGCACTGTTTACAACACTTAGAACAAGGATTCTAATGGTTATAAAGCACCCAAACGGAGTACTGTCAACTGAAATTTTGCATTTCACCTGCGGAGTCAGTTGCTGTTTGGATTTCTGTTCAACAGCAACATTTTTACAACACAGCCCTCAGGCAGGGTCTCACTGCACACCAGCTTGGGTGTGTAACAGCATTATTGTGTGTGCTAAGTGTCTTTATGGGAATTGTTATGTTTTAATATCCTGAGTAGGTCACTTTGCAGACTAACCAGCCAGCTATACTCACACCTTCTCCCAGCTGCCAGTCTGCTCCAGGATGAACACAAAGGATTAAGCATCTTGTCAACTATTTACTCCCCCAAACTGAAATAAAAGCTTCCAAAAACAAAACAAAAAACTAACAACAACAAGGGATGAGTTGTTTTTGCTGGCTCTAGATAGACTTTTAGAAAGTACAGCTCACAATAGGTCTGTAATAACTAAATGCCTAAAGCTCCACAATTATCAAGTTTCAAGCAGTCCTTTTCATACAGATTCAGGCTCCTATCACTACATCACCCCAGAAACAATTACAGCAAGAGCCTGAAGCCCCCCAGTGAAGTCAGCCATACTTTGCACCACAGGAGTGGTTCTTCTTTGCCCCAGGAAGTTCATCCGTGCACGTGTCACACACACAGGGCACAGACCTTCACAATTATTCAGCATTAATATTACAGTTGCTCTAGTTGTTCCTCTGAGATCAGAGTCCCATTACACAAGACATTCTACAAACACCAGAGGAGGCAAGACTTACCAAAAGACCTCAAGTGGGAAAAGTTGCAAAGCTGGAGATGTCACTTTCTTTAGAATCTTTTTTTTTTAACCACAAAATTTGAAGTAAACTAACTCACCTTTGAACCTGTCCAGAAACACATTCGGAGACACTTCTTATTCCCACTTTTTTCTTATTCCCACTTCATATTTTAATATATAATTAATAAGATTTAATAGATCATATAATGATTTTGGATAGTTCATTCATGGCTCCCACAGCTGAATGAAAGCAGCTGGATACTCCTTCGAATGACAAGCAAATCCCAAATTCATTCCAATATAATAAGCATGGAAGAAAGCAGCTCAGTAGTTATGCCCAGTATTGCTAATTGTTATCTCACACCTAGCAGTACACGCACCGTTAACAATCTTGTATAACCCGATGTAACAAAAGCATAAGAGAAGTCATGCTAACAGGATGAATAAAGCAGTGTTGGTTCTGAATGACTCTGGCATGAAGGCTCAAGATATACTCAATGATTTAAAATTTAATGTCTGCTTTTTAGCAGTTAGCATCCTTCTATGTCTCAGCATTAATATTTAATTATGTTTAAAAGCACTACAAACCCCCTTGTTTGCTCAATGAGAACATTAAAGCACACTTGTTTTTATTTATTTAGGTGCTGATGTGCTTTGATGTGCAAACCAAATGAACACCTACCTTAAGAGTCTGCAAAAACTTCTCCTGTAGCTGAGCCGTTGACTCGCCGCAGCCACGCTGGGAGGGAATGGAGGGCGCGAGGGGAAGTAAGCCAACGCTGCAGAAAATATCAGGGAAACTAGTCCAAATTCTAAACAAGAGGGCAAAGAAAAACAAAACCGAAAACAGATGTTATCACTGAAAGACTTATTTTGGTTCAGCACTGTTATCAGCCAGCCTCTGATACACAAATCCCACTAGTTAATGCTCCCAGCAACAGAACTCCATAACTTGAAGAAGAATTTCCTTTTTCCTCCCAAAGCAAGTTTTCAAATTGAGATGGAGAATCGATGAGATGGAGAAATATCAGCAGTGCATTCCAGTGACGGGAGCTGCAGAAAAACGGGCTCACGCATGGAGAACTCAAGTGAAGCAAAAGGAAAGCTTTTGCTTTTTCTCTTTAGAGAGAACTGCTTTATGAAGATTTGGCCACATTTCCTCGCGATGGAAGCAGTGCAGTGCAGGTAACAGTGTGCTAGAGACTTTAAACAGATGGGTCTGGGAAGCCCCAGGGCCTGCAATGACAATTGCTCACTGCACAGGATGGTGAAGACAAACGAAAGGTCAAGCAAGGCAGCATCTCGGACACAAACAGTATTACACGGCAACAGAATGTAAAGAGAAAAGTAGAAGCAGCCATGGCTCAGGAAGAGAGAGAGAGCATGGGTAATAGGGAGAAAAATGAAAGAATGCAGCTGTTTGCAGATGCACCTCTTGTTCAGCAGCAGGTATTCTAGATCTTTGAAAAATTTCATAGCAGAAATTTGGACCTGAAGTTGTAAAGCGATGAGCACTTCACAGAAAATACTCAGCAAGCGCAGTGATCAGACATCCTGAGGAAAAACAACTCTACCCACAGCCAGCCTAATTAATTTTTTTCACAGGCCTTTCACAATGTATATCATGTTCTCCACAGTCCTCACTCCAAATATTTCTCCTATCCCCTTTGAAAATGAGATTCTTTGCTGCTGGAGAGGAAGATGTATAGCTGAAGTGTGTTATCTTAGAAGAACCTGTGATCTTATAACAAAGAACTGTTCACCAACACCACAAATAAATACTAGCAAAGCTGGATACTCAATTGCATTCATTTTCTTTTTTCTTCTCTTTTTTAATAAATCAATATGAACATGGCACTTCGCCAGCTCTTCTGCTAAACCAAAAAAAATAAATCCAGAAAACTGAAAAGTAAATAACAGTCGGGGTCTAAATGGATCAGCTGGAGATGAGGAGGGGAAACGAATGCTTTTATTTGGTGTATGGAAAAAAGTCTACACTAAATTTCTTTTGAAGGCATACTGGGAATGTGACAATTCTATTCTTCATGATCAAATACTAAAGGATTCATTTTGAATTATGTGGTGTCTCTTTTCCTGCTGTGGTCTAGTTTTGTGTTTTGAGAGTCAAGAGCACTTTAACTAGACCTCCTCGCTATATCTCCTCTGTTCTCCAGAAAACAGATTAATTTCTATCTTTGTGTACATTGTTTCTGAGACCATGAGCAGTGAATAAAGAACTGGCCATAACTGATCCTCCCAGATCTAAAAAAGGGATGAGATGCTTCATCACTACAAGATTACACTAGACAGGGAAGCAAGGCTTGCCAAAAGCTTTCTATCCCCTTCTCCTGCATCTAGGTCTACGTATAGGTTTACAGGTATACACATGTACATGCATATGCACACTTTAATCACATATTAAAGGAAGATTTCAGACTGCAGAGACGTATAGCCAACAAGCCACAAAAACCCACAAACTTTTTCTGAGGTATTTATTATTTAACTTCATTATACTGCAATGCCATAAGGGGAAAGGGTAGGTCTTTTTCTAAGAATGTAAAACACGTTGATAATTTTTTTAAGTCACTGTAATATTTTATAACAGGTGCCCATGTGAGGCCTCTTCTACGGGTTGCCTCAAGATTCCTGCCAGTCAAATAGCTGTAGTAGGAGCAGTATAGTAACACTTCATTTTTTTTTCAATTATTAAATTCAGCATGCAGTCCTTGTAGTACCTTCTTGCAACTCTTTAATGTTTCCCAGTGTTATACTTTCCAGGTTAACAAATTTGCCTCACAAGCACTGCCTTCATGCACAAAAGGGCACAATTCAGTTTGGAAACTAAAGCAGCTCCCTCTATTGAAGAATAAAAGTCTTAAGCGCCATCTTAGCTTTGTGTATCACACTTGCATTGTGGTGGGTTAGCCCTTGGCTCGG